TAAGACAGACATCAAAAAATGTATTCTTTAAAAGCATGAAATGCCCCACAATTTTTTAAAAAAGGTTCAGCTTTTCTCAGTATTACAAATTTTACTGCACTTTGCTCAACAAAGAGCAAAAGTCATTTCGAGAAACGGATTTCCTGAGATTGATATGGAACAGGGGCTGAGTCGAGCTAAAGCAACCGTGTTATCACTTACTCACCGACCAGAACAGCTCTCTGATGTCTGGTGGTGTAAAGAATGAGAAAACATCCCAGGATATATTTTTTCTCAAAAATGTAGAAACACCTTCAGGTTTGGCTCAACTGTTAGAGGTGACATTTCTGCTCACATGTGTGACGGACCTTAAAACCAACAATCAAAGTAAAGTATGACTAATCGGAGTATGTTTGTAGTTTCTTGGCAGTAAATTTGAAATGACTCATTAAAGGTCATTCAGAAATAAAGACATCCCATAGATCAATTGTGATTCAGTTGCCCTCAGTTGAGGTTCAACACAAACACAAACACAAACACAAACACAAACACAAACACAAACACAAACACACACAGACCTTCTCACTCCCACTCATCAACCATATTTAATTACGCCTGTTTAATTTTCCCTGCCATTTATCACTTACATAAGCATTTGTCACCATAATGTGCTCTGCTGTAATGTTTTTTCCACATCACTTATATCTTTGCTTTTAAGGTTACAGAGATCGTCAGAAAGGCGAGATCAGCATCAACTCCATGCCCCGATGGGATACCATACATGCTCTACTAGAACTACCCTGCATGGCTCCTGAAATCCTGTGGAACCTCACCAGAACAAAAAATAAACTCATCCCATCAGTGTGGCAGAGACCTATCACGGTCAAGAAGCAGAACTGCTAAATCAGCCAGTTCAGGAGCATAGCTCTTCTCTATTATGGTCAAGAGGTTGACCAACTTCTTCATAACCAGCGTTCTCATCGACACCAGCTGCCAGAAGCTGGAGTGCCAGGCTTTCCAGGGTGCGTAGAGCCCTCAACAATGATGTGGGAACAGATCCAGAGGCCCAAGAGAGAGAGGTGACCTTCATGTCATGGGGCTGAACCTTGCAAATGCATAAGGGTCTGTTGCCCACCAACTCATTGACTTTGCCCTACATTTTTTTTACATCCCTGAATGTATCAGAAGCTTGGTATCAAAATACTTCAAGGACCTTTGAATGTGCTGTACCTACCTAGATTTCACCACAGGCTGGCAACGGCTGGAAGGACGTATCTCCATGGGATGTGCAATCTCCCCCATCTTATTTAAATCATTCTCTTTGGGGCAGGACGGATGGTTGTAGGAGTGAACCTGCCATCGGTACAAAGACTACCGCCGCTGAGAGGCTACATGGACAACATGACAACCATGCTCCAGACAGCAGCATGCCCATCAAGACAGCTGAAGAGGCTTGATGAGCTTGTGAATGTGGGCTAGAACGACAATAAAACAATCCAAGTTGTGAAGTTATCTCTCTGGGAAGGGATCAGAAGCGACAGCACCATCTTTGTCGTAGGCGGGGGAAGAGACTCCACTGCTGTCCAGACAAACTTGTCCACAGCCTACACAGCAGAGTTCCTCTTAGACAGGCAGATGGCGAGAGTAGTTCAGAGACGGTTCTCAGATGGCCTGGCGAGGATTGCCCAGCTCCTTGGCAAGGACAAAGTATGATGTTACCAATTAACCCTGCACCAATGGTAGGAAGTGGTTCCTACATAATGTTCAATTATGTGGTTTAGCAGTGGTTTGAACGTATTCATGTATTTTATGATGTACTTTTTACGTTGCATCTTGTTACCTTTTCTGTGTATAGCACTTTATAGGCCTTGTTTGAAATTAAGTGTTTTTGGGGTGGACCTATGCCACATCAAATGGGCACATTTTGTACAAGCCCCACAGGCTGTAATGTATGTGGCTTGATATGATTTTTATATCTTTTGTGTCTCATACCTACCCTACTTAAATATTGCTCTTAATATGTTTTGTGATGACCCTGATGAAGGCCACAAGCTGAACAGTTGTTCTGTATGCTGCAATTGTTGCTGGAGTTTTATTCAGCATTAAGTACGAAGGATGGGCTTGCAAACTCCTACATCAGAAAGTGGCTGAGGCTTGGAAAAAACACTCTGCAGCTTTGATCTATCAATTTGGAGTAAAAGCAGGAGAAGACATGGTTGGTCCAGAAAATGGGGGAGTCTACTGACCAATTGCTAAGAGCTGCACATTGTCCCTATGCAAACTGGGAGGAAGTGGAAAGCCCAAAAAGAGGTCAACGAGGCAATCACCAGGTTGAAGCATCACAAGGTTGTCGGCAGAGTCTAGGAGGGCCGAGTAGGCCTGGGGTGGGGTGAGGCACCTCTTCTCTGGTCGAGCGTCACCATGGAAGATGGCGGCGAGACCTTGTGATGAGGAAACTGGCTGGAGTGATTGAGATATGCCGGCAGGATGCAAACAGTAGGCCTTCCTCCTCAGCCAAGCACCTCATCCAGTTCACCAGGTACGGAGAGAGCACCAAAAGCCTCTGCCTTAAAGATTCACCAAGACTCCTTGAACCTAGCAAGGAGCAGAACATAGACCAGGGAGAGTCGACCTGGGAAGGCAGCCTCAGTTCCCCAGGGAGGTAACCTCTATGTCACTCCAACCTGACATGGTGATGTGTTCCATGGTCACCAAGACCATCCCATTCATATAACACAGGATCCTATAGGAGGAGCAGTTTGAGGCTGACTCTCTCATAGTGCTCTCATCTGTTGGATGAATGTAGACAGGCTGGCTGCAGGGGTTTTGTTCACCCTGTGGAGGTGGAATGCAAGGGCTTCATTAACTCCTCAATATCTAGAAAGAGGAAGGCAAGGCATTAAAAATCTGTCTGAGGAGGCCAAAAGAGGCAGATTTGGTGTGGCTGAGGAGGAAGCATAGCAATTGGGGGCCAGACAACACCTCAGGCATTAGCAGTGGGAGGCAGGGAGAAATCTCTGTTACCTCTCCACCACCAGGCGATGTACTGGGGTTAAAGGAGCAAAACATCAATGAATGCTAAACCCCAGCTGATGACCCAGCTTACCACACGCCAACCATTACATCAAATTGCTTGTCATCCTGATGTTTGTTTGTTTCCTCCATCTTTCTTTCTTTCTTTCTTTCTTTTGTTTGTTTTGATGTTCTCCTCCGCTTGTTGTCATCTTGAAAAATATATCATAATAAAAATCTAGAGTGAGTGTATAGCCTGTCTTCTCTCAAGGTAATAAAACTCTACAAAGGCACACAAAATGCAGCTCATTGCATGCGTACACAACTATATTTGACTTACACTGCAATAATATAGATTTTAGTTGTGTTTAATGGCCTTAAAGCTGAAAAAAAGCAAAAACTTAGTAAGATTCTGTCAAAAAAAAATATAATTCTACAATTTTATACCCCCCGGAGAAAACATTAGACATAATAGCTGAAGCCTTTTTGTGGCTACTTCCTTTCATTAAAGAAAAGAAAACTTCCCATCTGTACTTTTTGAACTGTCATCTTTGCATTTCACTGGAGAGAAGATTTCACCCCTGCTTTTTACTGTGGAGACATTTTCTCCTGAAAAATACTTTTTTATATTCGTTATACAATACAAAGTGTAGATAATAATTGCAGAAATTGTTCTGTCTCTGTGAAACTCAATGTCAGCCGCACTGCCAGGCTGACTTCAGAAACACCACCTAACACCACATCAGGAACTCATAAATGTAGCAGATACAATCTTGATGCATAGTAAGACCCACAAAACCCGCTCTTGTGAAAGGCAGCTTTTGTGGATCTTGATAGGAATATGTTAGGCAAATATAGCACTTTGATGGATTTTATCCAGTATGTTTCCTTACATATAGTGTCATTGTTTGTTGGTTCGGCTCCAGCGTTCTGTCATGCTGAAGAAAGTAAAGGCAATGAGCCAATAACTGTGTGTTATTCTCAGCACATGAACAGTATAAGGAATTCTACTTTTGGTGTCTTCCCTTAAACCTTTTCTCTGGATTTTCTTTAATTCCCCTGCATGATTTGACAGTAGAGCTGCATTTTGGGAGCATCTTCCTCCTTAAATTTGATGCACCCTACCCTTAGATTTTGCACAAAGGACATACAGTGATACAAGAAGAGACATAGTGAGGCGGAGAGAAAGAGGCTGTTTAGATAGTTAGAATCTTAGAATAGCTGTATAGACATACAGGTACAGCACTGCATCGAGCACCACAGGTGCAGACTGTGATGAAATGATAAATTAAATATAGATATTGCGAGAAACATGAAGCAACAACAACAAATCTAGGGGTTGAGACAGAAATAATACCCCACAGTGGATATGAATTAGATAGATAGATAGATAGATAGATAGATAGATAGATAGATAGATAGATAGATAGATAAACAGGCTCCTTAAGTGAAGGATCTGAATACGAGGACATACAAGGAATTTGACTCCAGTTTCTACAGAATCTCAATGTACTTACACACAGGTTACAGTACTAATAATAAACATAAACATATGACTATTATGTAACCTACAAGCCATATGCATACATCAACAATGGACACAAGATACTATATCTATACATGTCAAACAAATTTGAAAATAATTGAGGCTGTGAGATGAATGTAGTAGAGTAAAGAAATCTCCCTCTGAATGTAGTAGATTAGAAGTATAAAGCTGCATAAAAAGAAAAAAGTCATGGGAAGTACAAGTAGGCTACCTCAAATTTGTAATTGAGTAAATGTGATTAAATCCCTTCACTATCAGTCCAATATAAAATTGCTGTCAGCAAGTACTGTAATAAATAACCTGATATATTTATTGTAATAAATATGATTTTGTCTCTAAAATAACAAAAATGCCGAACGAATAGATTGTGTAGACACGCCGCAGCTCCGCAGCGGCACTTTGTCTCGCAGCAGCGGCCCGGAAGTGTTTGTAAAACGGTTAAAAGCCAGTTGACGGAGGCTAGTTGGTGTTAGCTGTCAGCCGGGTTCAGTCATTGTGCAGGGATGGAGGTGACACGAAAAAGTAAGTAGTCAGCCGCATTTTGCACGCTTGATCTTTTGTAGTTGGACTCATACGTTATAAAATTGTACAATTGAGTAGTGACATGAAACATATCTATGATGCTTAAGGCTCTTTAATTGTTGTGTTTGTGCTGCTGCTAGCTAGCTACCTAGCTAGGTAGCTGCGAGGAAACAAGCACGGCTGCGGGTTTGTGTGCTCATCTGCTGGCTAGCACGCTTTCCGCATCACGCTAACATACTAGTATTAATACACTTTTACTTTTTCCAGATTATAAAGACTGTTTGAACACGGTGTACAGCGCGATAGAGGATGCCGACTTCCTTGCCATCGATGGAGAATTTTCAGGTAACCGTATGAGAGTTTTAGCTGAAGTGGACACTGATAAAACCCAACGTTTTTTCTGCTGAAATGTGACATGTGAGTTTGTGTGTTTTTTTTAGGGATAAGCGACGGCCCCAATGTCAGTGCACTAACCAACGGGCTTGACACACCAGAGGAGCGATACACGAAGCTTAAAAAGGTCTGCAGAGCTTATTAATTACAACACATCAATCACACATCACGTCAGTTTCATTTATATAGCCCAATATCACAAATCAAAGGGCTTTTTGCGATCTGTACAGCGTACAACACCCTCCCCAGAGAAGTTTTAAATGGAAAAAATATAGAAGAAACCTAAGGAAGCACAACAGAGGAGGGATCCCTTTTCCAGGATAGACACATGCAATAGATGATATATGCACAGAATAGAACAGGATTACAACATTGAAATCTGTAGACATATATTAGGAATATGATTGAGCAACCTTCAGCTGCAGGTAGACAGATGGGACCTGAGCCACAGGACCTCCTCTCCACCATGAGGACCTAAAAAGAGGACAGACTACACAAACACACAAGAGGGCAAAACTTAAGCACACCATTCACACAGGTGAAAGAAACAAACTACACAGAGACAAAAAGACAAAACATGCACACAAGGTGGAGAGGCCAGAACGAAGGAGCAGGACGAAGATCCAGTGCATCCCAGCTTGCCTCCCTAGCTCTGCAGCAGTCTGTTGTTTGTTTGTTTGTTTGTTTGTTTTTATCTCATTAAACCTTTTGTCTTTCTATCCACCAGCATTCCATGGACTTTCTACTCTTCCAGTTTGGATTATGTACATTCAAATACGACCAGGCAAAGTCAAAGTGAGTAATATCTGCTGAACAAATGCACAATTTCAAATCTGACCGTGTTATTCTGTGTCCCAACATCGCCATCTGCTCATATTTAAATGTCTTATTTGTTACATTCAGCAAAGAGATAATATTTTGAGACAGACTTGGTTCTTCATCAGGTACAGAGAAAGAGCCAACTTGTTGCAAGTCCTCTGGGCGACAGTTTTTGGACACAGTATCTGGACAGATAAATTTGTGTCTATTGTTAAACTGACAATTAACAATTGCTCCTTGTACCATCTCCTGAATTAAAGCAGGGCTGGATTACCAAGTGCCCAACTGCCTCAGGGCCCCAGAACATTTATTGTGTAGCAACTGATTTATCCTAAGTTCCATTGCCAATGCCACTGTTAGGTTTTATGCAAAAACATTTGTCAACTAAGAATTAATAATGGAAGTGATCCAGCTATTACCCTCATTTTTCTCTCTTTCCTCTTATCATGTCTCCCTAGGTATATCACGAAGCCGTTTAATTTTTATATATTCCCGAAACCATTCAACAGGACTTCTCCTGACATTAAGTTCATCTGCCAAGTAAGTCTGTGTTATTCTTCAGGGTAATTCCTTTTGTGAACAACAAATGACTTTTGGATACAGTGATTTAGATGGTTTAAAATATTTCCTGCTCAGTCAGCTGTGAAAAGATTATTTCAATATTAGGGATTTTTGTTTGAAAGATGGAAGATCTTTTTTTCTTTTTTTCTTTTTCTTTTTTTCATTTCAGAGTTCCAGTATTGACTTTCTGGCCAGTCAGGGATTTGACTTCAACAAGGTGTTCTGTCACGGTGAGTGTAACACGAAATGACACTGACATGCCCTTTTTGTCTCATGATGTGTAGTGATGGGTATCTACCCTCAATATCTGACTCTAAACTGATATGAGTTTATAGAACCATGTATCTTTTACATAAATTGGAAGTGAGTGCTTTGTCAGTTTCTTATCAGATTGACTGATATACAAACCAAAGTCTTGTTAATTTCATATCGCACTTCGATAAAAGGGGTTTCTGTAGGAAAAGCAATTCTGTTTAAATCAGTACTTGAACTCGGTTTTTGTTTTTTGCGCTGGTATCCCCCTCCAGCATCAGTGTTAAGAAAAGCTGTCATCTGTCACCAGTACTGGAACAGCTGGTTCTGGGCCTTTTGCTCTTCATTCAGACTTGTGATAGTGGTCTTTTGTTAGCCTGAATCCAGATCTCTGACAAAATGAAATGCCAGTGCAGCCTCTGTAGACACCTAGTTGACTCTTACAGTCTGAGGAAAGTGTTCCCTGGTTTCACTGCCACTTGTGTTCACGGCTTCAGAAATGTAATGACGCATAAGAAGCTATACAGGCTTATCAGAACCTGCAAGAGCATTGTTTGCTCTGGTTCACTCGTATGTTCCTCTCTTACCACTTCTGTTGATGTTGTTGTTTTTTTGTTGTTGACAACATGGAGTAGCTTTAAAAAATGCATGACATCTTGCTGAAAATAATTCTCAGCAACTTTCTTTTTCATCTTGCAGTAGTCTTTCCAGCACATGGGCTCTGTATCAAAAAGTGTAATTTGATGGAATGTGTAGTCCTGGACAGTCGGTGGGAAGAGCCAACACAGAACAGCAGCTCGCTACACAGAAGTAAAATTCAGATTTTTCTTGGGTTTTCAAAGGAATCCCGTACCTAAATCAAGACGAGGAAGCCCAGCTGAGGGAGCAGACGGAGGAGAGGAGGAATCAGCATGCTAACGGTGTAGGGACACCATCCTACATCTCTCCATCCTCCAAAGGTGCTGCAAATGTACCCGAGGAGCATAAAGACTTCATCAACAGGGTGGTGTAAGTGTTACAGATTCATTTAAAGGCTCAAATAAAGAGCTGTGGGTAGTGACGGGGTTGTTTTGTCTGAGTAGTTGAGAATGAAGTCGTGGTAGCTTAGTTCCTTCACACTAGTTGGACCAAGATTACGTGACCTGATTACCTTTCCTTGAGGGTAAAGTGGGTGTGGCCAGCCAGTAGGAAATCCCCCACCCCGAAACATTGCCCCAGAATTCCTTGGTATAAATAAATGAATAGACCTAGAGTCATACTTCGTCTGTAAACCGGCCGGGGAGCAGCTGAGTGTTCAGGAGGATGTGCGGGGAAATCACTGAAAAAACATTCAGGCTGCTCTTTTCAAAAAGCTGGTGCTGTGACTTTCACTCACATGTGATTACATATTAATGGAGAAATGAAACTTGCCAACCTCAAACAAATGCAACTTCACAGTTCTGTTGGTACCTTACCCTCTTATATTTTGATCACTTCTACTCCATTTCTCCACACAGAGAGAAAGTTGAGGCCCTCTTCACCAACTCAGAGAAGACTTTGGACCTGGAGCCATGCACTGGGTAATCTAGCCCCCCCCCCCTTTTTCAAAAAGCCACATCTACCTGTGTTTGTTTTTTCCGTGCCGATTTTGTATTTTAATCTGTGCATACATTCATATTTCCTTACTAGGTTTCAGAGAAAGCTGATATACCAGACACTGAACTGGAAGTGAGTGGCACTCACCCCTGGGCTATTATTATTATTATTATTATTATTGTTATTATTATTGTTGTTGTAGGTTTGTCATAGATTTAACGTTCTTCTTGTTCTTACAGGTTTCCCAAAGGGCTTCATGTGGAAACCATTGAAACAGAAAAGGTTAGAGCATTTTTCATCTCAGCTTATCTTGCTTCCTGTTTTTTTTTTTTTTTTTTTTTTTTTTTTTTTTTTTTTTTTTTTTTTTGGAAGAATCATAGATGTGATTTATGTTTGCAGAAGGAGCGATACATCCAGGTGAGCAAAGTGGATGAAGAGGAGAGGAAGAGGAGGGAGCAGCAGAAACTGGAGAGAGAGCAGGTAGAGTGTGGGCTTCAGACAAATATCAAATATTCCCGTCACACTCTTCTTCTATTTATCACAATAGTGTATTGAATGTAGACATGCATACATTTTCTGTGTGACGTTGTTGTGAAGGAGACTGCACTACTGTCTGAATACATCTAGTATTTTCACCTGACACTTGTCTTCCCCCGACAGGAGGAGCTAAATGATGCTGTTGGCTTCTCCAGGGTGATCCATGCCATCTCTAAATCTGTAAGTAAACCTCACTACTTCTGTGTTTTTATTTGTTTTTCTAGTGCCTCTCATAGTTACAACACACACACAAATAAACAGTGATACTCCAAAGTATAGACTATCATAAATCCCAATTCATAAGATGCAGTATCGAGCTTTACTTGCTCTTGAAATATCTTTTGGCTTCGGTAAAATGGGACTTGTAACTCATTTCCTCTGACACACAGGGCAAACTCGTGGTTGGCCACAACATGCTGTTGGATGTGATGCACACCATCCACCAGTTCTACTGCCCACTTCCAGAGGTACACACTCGAGATGGCGATTTTTAAATGCGGAGCCTTTTTGGCTGCTAAATATTCAGCCTTTTGCTACACAAACAAGCTGTTTAAAGCAAAGTAATGTCATCTATTCATAATTTATACCAATGCTCTCTTCTCCAGGACCTCCAAGACTTTAAAGAGGTCACGATGTGCGTCTTCCCAAGGTAACGTATCACTCTATTGCTAAGTTTGTTTCCGTGTCTTCACAACTGAGGCTTGTCTTTGCTTTTTGTTCTTTAATGTGTTATTTATCTTTTTTTTTAACCTGTTGACTTGCAGAATTCTGGACACAAAGTTAATGGCTTCCACTCAGCCGTTTAAGGTAGACATTTTTAGCTGCTATTTGTTTACCATGTTATCTTTTTGTTTAGCTGTGAGTCCAGGAAGTGTTCTCTGCACTGTAAAATGACTGTATATGGAGAGCTACTGTGAAGCAGGACTCTCTTGTGTCAGCATACCTAACCAGTAAAATGGACTATGCTCTTTTAAGTTGTGCTTATTAGTTATGATCATGGCTTGCCAGTGAAAATCGAGCAAGTAATGATGATTTTTGAGCAAAATCATGATTTTATGTCTCTAAACTATAATACTAACAGCTTGTTTTTACCTTTTTTTTTTTTTTTTTTTTTTTTTTTTTTTTTTGTGTCGCAGGAGCTGATCACTAACACCTCTCTGGCAGAGCTGGAGAAACAGCTGAAGGAGAGCCCCTTCAAGTCACCACAAGTTGGTGAGTAAATACGCCCTGAAACGTTTGCCTGAAATATTCTTCACTGTACAAAAATCCTGCTGACACTTCTTCTCTGCGCTGTTCCAGAAACGGACGAGGGGTTCCCCAGTTACGACACAGCCCAGGAGCAGCTCCATGAGGCAGGGTACGATGCCTACATCACTGGCCTCTGTTTCATCTCCATGGCCAACTACCTGGGTAACACACGAACGATCACGCTGGTCCTGTTCTCAAATTTAAAAATGTGTCTTAATACGTATTGTCTAAGTTGGTCTGCGCTCCACTTTTCAGGCTCTTTCTTGACTCCACCCAAAGCTTACATCTCAGCTCGATCCAAACTCATTGAGCCTTTCTTCAACAAGTAAGAGACGCACTTACGTTCATTTGCTGCTCTTTTTATTAACCGTTCAAACACTTAAGAGGTTTATCATTTCTTCTTCTTTCTGTTCTCAAGGCTTTTCCTGATGAGGATAATAGATATTCCCTACCTCAACATCACAGGACCAGATCGTGAGTAAAATGTTGTGTAGCACGGCCCAGCCATATGTCAGGATTGCTGCATTAACTACTGCTTCGAAGTTTAGCCGTACTTAAAGGCAGCCTGTGGAGTTTACCAATAGTAGCACTGTGGAGCAAGTGCTTCCCCATTTTGTTTGTGTTGTGTGCACACACTCTCCTGCTATTCTGCTGAGTGACAGTGTGGCGCAAAGAAATATAGCAATGCACTTGCAGAGGAAGAGCGCGAGCTAGCAAACATAGATGTAGACGATGCACAATTTAAAGTGTAATGAAAATCGTTGCATGAGGAAGGAAATGCGTTCAGCCTGCTCGTCAGGTCTCAACAAAACAGAATACAAAACTCCACTCCACCTTTCTGTAAACCTCAGGCCTGATATCATCTTAGCTGTGTATCTTAACCTTTTTTATATGGGCTTTAATTCCTCAGCTAATTAAGTTATTGGATTTTCTTTTTGTTCAGCATTAATATCAAATATCAGTTAAAGCCACTGTAGCCACTTCTCCACCTCACCCTTTGTTCTGCTGATCTCTTCTGCTCCTGCAGTGCAACCCAAAAGAGACCACGTCCTGTACGTCACCTTCCCAAAAGAATGGAAGACCAGTGACCTCTACCAGCTCTTTAGTGCCTTTGGTAAGATGTGATTTTGTGTGTTCTGCTTGCAAACAGTTATGACCCCATGATTTATCACTCACGTTCGACTTCTGCTTTCCACACAGGGAACATCCAGGTTTCATGGATAGATGACACATCAGCATTTGTGTCCTTAAGTCAAACAGACCAGGTGCAGATAGGTGAGTTCGACCTTCCTCACGTCGGACTGGACTCTTGTCATCTGCACACAAAAAAAAAAAAAAAAAAAAAAAATGTCGAAGCAGCTTGTTAACTTGTTCCTCTCATCCTGCAGCTATGAACACCAGCCGCTATGCAGAGAGCTACAGGATCCAGACGTATGCAGAGTACGTCCAGGGCAAGCAGCAGCAACAGGAGAAGGAGAAGATCGGTCAGACCGCCAAAACCTGGGGAGAGGACGGCTGGGTGAAAGCTCACTACACCTCATCCACTACCAGTGGTTTTGGATATTCCAGGTACGCATGTGATGCTGTACACTTCAGCATAATATTCTGTTGCCTAGGATTTTCTGCAGGTATTTCTTCTTGTACTACTGTACGTATGGCCTATTTTTTTTATTATTTTTTTTTTTGTTCCAGGGCTTTGAGAAAACGCAGCATCAGCCCGGTTCAGGGAGAACAGGGGAGTGGAGAACCTGTAATTACAGACGGCTGGAGTCACTACTCGTACCCAGATAGCACCGGCAGCAAGAAAATGAAAACTGATGGTGTGTGAACGCATGCATGCATACGTACTTTCCTGCAGCAGAGTGGTAACTTGCAGGTTTCCTGTAGGAAAGTACTTGGCAGAGATTCATTGTGTCCTGAGGAAGAGGGCAGGTGGCGTTTCGAATAATCATCAACTAAGGCTGAGTAATTAAGATCAGATTTTATTTATGGCCACCCGCTCCAGAACAGACGGGTCAGACGGGTCAGATGCATTCTTGATTTACAACATTGTCTTCGCACGTTTTTTGCTTGATATTTGAGCCTTTCATTTTAATTGAGGAAGCACAGAAAGTAATTTTGGTGATGCATCTTGGGTATTATTTTCACTGAGATCTTAGAGTTGTGCAACATGTGGTTTTATCTGATGTCGCTGTTGAGTCTTAAATCTTTGAAATTTCACACAATCGTCAGACAAAAACGGTGGAGCTTTTTGCAACCCTCAGATAATGTTCAAGAAATCTGAACTGACGCATGAGAAGCCATTAGTCCTGGTTTTCAAGTTGTAGTGTATCCCTCCTCACTTTAAAGGCTGTCTAAGCCTCATTTTTCTGTGTTTTCTGCTTGTGTGTTGTCAGTCCTGTGAATTACTAGGTAAAATACACTTGCCATATAAGGAGGTCTTATCTCGTCTCTCATGCTCCAGTTGTTATTGTGTTCCCTAGATACAAGTGGACAGGCAAATGCTGAGGCTGTCGAGAGCAAGACATCAGAGGGGTGGCTAAAGACGGGGTAAGTGAAATAGAGGCGCTCATCCTGTTGCTATTAATCCTGTTTGCTGTGATTTAACTCTCTTAATGGCTGCTCTGCCCAGCAGAGATGCATCAGATTCAGCAGGGTTAAGTCCAGTCCCTGATGAGGAGGAAAGTCCCGAGGGCACAGATCCAGCTGATGATGCTGACGGGACGATCACCTGGCAACAAGCCCCGGCAGTCCACGGGAGGAAAGGTCAAAAGAACAAGAAAAAGAAGTCTGAAGGTGTGTTTGTCAGGCTCGATAACCCTTTGAAGCTGCATGTTGTTTGTGGATAAATGTCTGTTAATCCACCTAGAAACCAGAGGAAAATGGTGTTTCTTTTTATAATATCTAATTACCATGATTATGAAGCAAGATCTGTTGATTTCTTCAGCATCAAAAGTAATTATATTTGTCTCTACATCAACAACAGCTAATGCAGCGTGACTTTCCAGCACATAGATTTCATAAAATGTTCATAAATATCAACTAAAGTCACAGACTACTGACAGCCAGTGTTCAGAATGCCGTTAGCATGGTTCTTCATCGGTCCATCTCAATCATCTGTCCAGTTATAAACAGTTATTTGAATCTTATTTATCTTATCTTATTTAAAAGATACAGACAAAAAGATTTTTCTGTTTTCATTAATGCTGTCTGTGTGTACGTGTGTAAAACTACTGACATGCAAATTGATGGCATTTCTGGGCAGGCCAACCTATCCTTAGAACCAAACGACTTGTCGAGTTATATAGCGACTCTGTCATAAAGAGTTAAGACTGAGTCGACAGCCGTGCTAGCACTCGGGGCAAAAAGCCTGCGTTTCAAAGGGTTAAATGTTACAGTAAACAAGATTTCTGTGTGATCACTTGCAAATCAACATACTCGAAATGTTCTCATCTTAACATGCCTCTCCCTCTCTTGTGCAGCGGCGGAGTCTACAACATCGCTGTTCGAAGTCCCAGAAGTCTGGTAGCGAGAAGTGGGACGTGGAGAGGCCACTGTCCCGCACTGGGCTCCTGCTCAGAGTCTCTTCCTAAGCACTTGGGGCACTTCCTGAATGGTCGTACATCACTGGGAGTGGTGCATGCCCTAAATTCATTCGTTCACTCAACAGCTGTGGATACCGTGTCCAAAGCTACCAGCCAAACGTCTTGACTGGACTATTGAAAGAGAGAACACAAGCCATAACGACAGCTGCCATATTTTGATCTTGTACCACAGAGGAGCAGGAAACTCTACTGGGTAAACACACACACACACACACACACACACATATATACCACGAGATCTTGAAAATCTTAAGTGCAGAAATGTTCATTTATCCTGATGTGTCCAGACTGGGATCTGCCACCACAGCCATGCTATCACTTTGGAACCATTCATCAATTTTAATGACACGTCACCTCGAATCAGTCTTAAATTTTGGGAGCGTGAGTTGTGTGCGAGTTTGCATGTGAGGGAGATGTACTTTTTTCTCTAGTCTTTGTATCCCTGTGAATCCGTTTTCATAAATTGTGAGAGATAAAATACCACTTGACAGGTCCTGTAGTTTACAATGTCAGGGTTATTTAGTATTTTAATGCAGTCAGATATTTTTTCCATTTTAAAAAGAAAAAAACGTAAATTCTATCAACTCCTCCAGTTTTATCATATAAGCTTATCAATGATAATGTGATATTTATGATTGGTGGCATTTTGATCCTTCATGAGGTGCTTGTTTTTTTTTTGTTTGTTTTTTTTTGTACAGAATTGTTTTCTTTACTTTTTTGTGTTGAATGTTTTGTAACTGTGTCAACCCTGAAACAATGTCAAAGTATGTTCAAAAGGTGTAAACGTTAAGAAGACGTGTACATTTTTGTATAAGATAAAGTTTAAAAATCCTGAAATATTTCCTTGGAAAGGGAAACAATTAAAGAATGTTTCTTAGTATCTTTGTTTCTGTACCTCTGTTCTCAAACTGATCAGGTGGAGCGAACTTTCGAGCGTTGTCACTTATTTAAAAGGCTCTGAAATGGGTTTTTTTTAAGGTTCTAGTAAAACACGATAATATAGTTGATCAAATAACATCTTCATTTGAGAAAAAAAAAAAAAAGCAGCTCTGGGAACCTTAAGTTGGCGTATTTTAAATGTACTACTTCTCACTGTAGTCTCTAGGAAAAAATAATTATTCTTGAATGAATAAAGTCATTTAAGTAGTAATGTATTTAAAGCTTTAGTATTCTGCATCGATGGCCCACAAATGTCACAAATATTTTTGGTGTACTATCAGTCTCCAGTTTGACCTGGAGTCCTTAGAATGACATTGACATGCTCGACTGTGAAAGTCAATAACGAAAAGACAAAATTTGACATGAACAGTTTTAATTGCACAACATCAAAATGCATAGATCCTTTATGATAAATACTGCTCCATAGAAAAGTCTTTTTCATTGAAAAAGTGACACTTCATTTAAAAACATTAATAGTATCCATGATACATCAGTTCATATGTGATTGTGTATGATAATGACGTGGATTTGACATCATCTAATGAGACTGCCATGTTTGTTTTTCTTCCAGTAGAACTAATGGGATCTGGGAGAGTTGTAATCTTTACTCCAGCGTGTGTTGCACAGTTCTGTAGTTCGTCCGACTTCCATTAATGTTTCCAATTAAGAGTCTAGTCAAGTAAAACCAAAGGCCAACAATGCTTGTACAAATTAGGAGGGTTTATTGTTATGAAAATAATTTTGTACCAAAGCCGAAAGCTACTTTTGTAGCTTTGCTTATTTCCAGGCCACAAAAATATTTTAGTTTTAACTTGCCTTTAATATACATGTGCCAAATAGAAAAGTGTACCATGCAGAGATAACACGCTCAGTAAACAGGAAGGAAGTCTCTGGCAATTTATTTTTTATCATCATTGATTTCAGCTGTGTCAGTTCATCCACTGAACAGGCATCACTGGAGAGGAAGGTATTTTGTTAGCGCAGGTTTCTGCTGGATCACTGATCTCCTCTAGACCCTTACTTGACCTCCATAAAGCACAAACCAGGAAGGTGTCCATGAGCACTAGGGAAGAGAAGAGATGGATTAAAAAATATTTAACTTGGTAGCAGTTTTTCCCCAGACACTGTCAAGAGTCCTCACCTGGTATGTCCAAGCAGCACAACCACACACAGGGTGCAGTCTGGGAGAGATCTGAAGAGCTTCCCGAGGCGGCGGTCCAATTTCCCCATCATGAGCTCCATTTTCTGGTCCTGCAGGTTAGACGTATTGGGTTCTTCGTTACATGTGCACTAGACATCATAAACACTCTGAAAAACCAAATCACGAACGACACTTGTAACTGTGTCTTATTTGCAACTTCTTTCAACCCTCCAGCTTCAAGAAGCTTCAATAATCACACGTCCAGGACAAGAATAAGAATAGGAAAAATAGCAAGATAAGAAATGTCGGGAGAGACACAAAGCACAATCGCACCGTCAGACCGAGATGCCAGGAGAAATAAGCCCCACAAAGCCACCCTTAATCTGAAAAGCTCAGTTTTTAAAGTGAGATTTTTTTTTGTCTTGAACAGATGTAGTGAGAGTTGACTGAGGCTGGCAGCTGGAAGTCAGAACAATCACTCAAGTATGATGTTCAAACATCTCCCAAACAGCTGTTGTCTCTGTTACTAAGAGCAGGACAGAAAGTAACCAAGTATACAAGACTGTAACTACACCAGCAGCCCCGTGTGGCTGTTACTGTCATTACACACCACATAGTATATTAAATTATGTACTATGCATAATTACCAATAGTTGAGGAAAAAATGTACACTTTGGTCAGGGGAAGGCACCAGAGAAAAAGCCATGGTGTTATCCAGGCTTTGCTCGGCTTTGGTCAGTCTACTACTTTGTCAGGTTTAGATGTTTGAGATAAAAGCTAACGTGTCTAAGTCCTACCCACATGCTGAATACTGATGAGTGGCATGTTGGCATGGTGACAAATGAAGAGACACTATGGCAGACGGTAAAGTATAAAAATAACACACAGACAGGATCATTTTGCACCAGAACTGAATCATTTTTTGTAGAAATTCATCTGAAACAATCATATAACATTTCTACACTATTGTTTTAAAGGTCCCATATTGTATAAATTGTATTTTCATATTGTATTTCCATTTCTTTTTTGATTATAAAGCAGGTCTAGGTTCTATATTAATACTGTGAACGTATCAAAGCGCTCCAATCCTCAGAGAATGCACACACACTGTATCCAGACACGGAGCCTTAAAACGAGCCGTCAGGACTTCTGTAACTTTGTGATGTAACAACTCAGCCCCAAGTCCCACGCACAAGGACCCACCACACAGTCTTGCAGGATTTGGTTTCTCAGGGTGTTTACCTGAAATCTGCTATATTTTTTATAGCAGATATACTATACATTCTTCTGGATAACAAAACTTGCAAAATATGGAACCTTTAAAAATGTATGACAACCATCTGGAGTCAATACAGCCTGTTTCTTACCTGATTACTGGTGTGCACGCAGGTCCTCTCATCGTCTTCCACCTCAGCATCCACTGTAGTCACTGTTGTTGTCATGGCAGCCCATGAACGCAAGTGGGGCGGAGTCAGGGATGGACAGATGATGTAGTCCTCCTTCCAGAGGTCCTCGGAGGAGCTGAGGGCTGCGTGTTTGCCCTCTGAACTCTCAAACTCTGTCAACCGGACACAAGTGAGGCGGAGAATTTCAATTTCAATCTGTGCACCCACAAATGCAAGAGTAAGTAGTAGTGAATAGTGAAAACAGTGTAGCTTTTTGCTCACGTATGTCTGCATGTCTTGCATGTTTTCCAGGTTTGGCAGGCAGGACGATTCTCTCCACCGTCCCAAAGTGACCAAATGTCTCTCTGACTGTTTCCTCAGACAGTCCAGACTTTGTGGCGGTCAGCTGCAGCCGTTTACCGTTCACTTTAGCAGGCTGAAACCCATTTACTGTTTTAACAGAGGTTGCACCTGCATCTAATGTGTGTCCATTGACCTTTGCAGAAAGGTTTATGGACTCAGTCACACTGGGCTTTAATTTAACAGCAAAGAGGTGACCGGTGTTGAGAACGTCATCCATCAAAGCATCGAGAGTGACCTCCAGGTCCAGCATTGACTCATTAACAGGCCTCTTGACCTAAAGAATGCACACACAAGCAAACGTGTTGGAGATGGAGCAATCTAAAAAAAAGTTTGGGAATAACTTCTGAGGTGAATAAGTAACAAAAAGCACAAGAAAAAGAGGCGAGAGAGTCACCTTGATGGACTGCCCCTGCAAATTAAGCCCATTCAAAGTTTTTAAAGCCAGCGTAGCTCCCTCCAGCAGCTCGAACTCTACCTCTGCATGGACCTGGAGACCAAAGCACATCCAGAGAGAGGAAGTTTAATAGGAGCTGAAGGAGGAAAATATTTTTTATCACCAGATCAAGGTCACACTGGATCAAGGAGATATTTTCCTCTTTCACACAATAATACAGCAGAACAAAAAGATCCTAGCGTGTCTTTGTAAATACTCATCACCCTTCCTTTTCATACAAATGGACAGCACCATGTCTTAGGAGGTATTTAGTTGTTCATTGGTCAAATTGTGAAAGAAATAAAACAAACAAAAGAGTTTATCAAAAGGAAAACTGCAAGAAATGGAGGATCATGATGCAGGTGAGACATACCCTGACGGACGTGTTCAGCATTTTGATTTTCCGAACCGGTCCACAGCAACCAAAAAGACGCTTCACTTCCCTCTCAGAGAAACCCGCAGGGAACGGCCCGCCAAATACGACACACATATCGCGAAGGTTTGCACACACCTGCAGGATAAACAGACAAACACACAGCATTAAAATATCACTGCCATTTTAAATGTATGATGTAAAGTAATAAGTGACTCACCCGCTGGTACTGCTGCTCCTGAGGAGGAACGCACCCCTTCAGGTGGTCTGAGAGGGAAGAGAAATGGAGCACTGAGAGGAACGGATGCTTGATCTGTCTCCTGAAAGATGCCAACAACTGAGGGAGAGAGGATGCAGTTGTAGAGACAGAAGAAGAGGAAGAAGAAGAAAAGTTTGGAGGAGGGTGAAAAGAAGGGAATGAAAAAAGGATAAGACACTTATAATACAGTATCACTTAAAGTCTATATATATATTGAACGAAAGGAGCAACTTAATGCATCTTTCCTTGCTTTCTCACTTTATTGTTTCATTTCCAAATTAGGCAAAACTGTCATTAAACTTGGAACATCCATAACTTAAACAAGGCAGGTCTCATTTAATAACGTCTAATAAATAGGTAAACCAGCAAAGCCTTTATGAGACTCACTGCATGTAGAAGACTTGACAGAAGACAGTGTTTGATCAGGTGAAGGTCAAGAGGGAGTTGACCGGCTCCCGAGTCAAAACCACCAAGCTTCTAACCTCATTGTCAGAGTTGTGCCACTGCTGATTGGACAGGTCCAGGGCTACGTCAGAACGCCTCCCGAAAAAGGCTACCGACCGGCCGAGTGTCTGCAATACGTCGGCAAACCTGCAACAAGAAAGAGGGACAGAGAGTTTGTCAAGTGTATCGTGTGATGAAATGGATTTCACTTTGCGGATGAAAACCAAAATCCTTCTATTAGTGACAATGATGTGCATGAATTTTCTGATCGGATTTAATGCTTTCAGTTCATTTCCATTATCGAGGCGCTAAACGTCATAAACCCTTTGGCTGTAGTTGAAATTATTCATCATAGACATTTCAGACAAAGACAGACAAAGTTAGAGAGAAAGTCTGACGAACCTCAAACTAGTGTTAATCTGAAATTACTGAAAACTGTATCCATGATGTTTTCAGGTCAATTCTGAACCATTTCCTGTGTCTGCAGAGGTTTGTGTCATTGTTTTTTAAAAATGTGAAGGCTGTGTTTTTGTAATAAAACATCACAGAAAGCTCCATGTTGGTTGTGAAAAATAATAGCTCGATACAGAGGTCCAAAAACTCAGAAGAAGAATAAGGTCTCCTGACTTCGTGCGGACACGGTCTGAGCGAATGTAGTCAGATGTAAAGAAAACAAAGAGGTATACAGATTGTATCAGGTTCTGTACCTGTGACTAAATGCAGGTGCAGGTGCAGGTGCAGGTGCAGGTGCAGGGTCAGTGAACTCCTCCTCTATTGTGTATCCCCACAGCTCCTCCAGATGATGCTCCACAACCTGACAGTGAGCATACACAGAAAAATGCTGTATCAACTCTGTGCGTGTGTGTGTGTGTGTGTGTGTGTGTGTGTGTGTTAGGGAGCAACGGGTTACCTGACGGGGTCCTGTTTTAATAAAATACTGGGCCAGCTCCAGGGCTGCCACTGCATCCTCGATGGGATTATGACCCTTTCCCTCTTCAGTTTGTATTTGCCTCCTGGGACACAAGAGGACAATTGAATTATTAGTCATGGTGGCTGAGAGAGAGAGAGACGCAAAGACAGAGAGAGGAATGGAAAACTTACTTCAGCACTGTCTCCGCTAAGACCTTAAGCTTAAACCTCTGTCCAAACTCTCTCCTGTACAGCAGTGAGGTGTCGATTACATGCCGGTGGATCAGCTGCAGTGAGCACAGAGACACAATACAAGTCAAAACTTATTTTATTCAAAAAATGATGTCTGTGGTTGCTGTGAAGTCCCTCCAGAATAAAATACCTGGGTTGTACGTACATTACTGAGGTTCTGTTTTTTCCAGGGCTAGCAGACTACACAGAGAGGAAAAATGGTTCTGACATTTTCTTACTAAACACACACTTCCCTTTAATTTCTCTGCAGTTATGTTTGCAAAGCTTCACCTGCTTCATCTTCATGAAAGATTCAAACACCCCAAAACACAGGAGGACGAGACCGCACTCAAAGTCAAGCTTGTCAGCATCATTTCATGGCTGTTGCAGGCAGAAATCAATACGTCAGTAGTCACTCACTTTCAGAGCTATGAGGTCGTTGTTAAGTGAATGGCCGACCAGGACGGCGTCCCGTGGCAACACAGCCCTGAGCTTTGCCTGAACATCCCGCAGGGTGGTTGTGATCGGTCGCAACATCGCTGCAGTGATACCAGAGAACCTATCAGGAGGCACACGGCAGCGTGGGCAACAGAAATGAACTTTAACCTTTAAACATAGTACGTGATGTTGGTTATTAATAATACAACAGTGTGTGTGTGTGTGTGTGTGTGTGTGTGTGTGTACCTGGTGAGGTAGTTGAGGATGCGGTTCTGAGGTTTCACCAGCTCGTCCAGCACACAGTTCCCATCACTATCCACCAGAGAAACACGAGCCAGCTCATTTCCCTTTTCTGTAAGACACTGAGGCACAACAGCAAAACAATAAGGAACTGTTTGGAACCGGGGTGGAATAAGTGGAATAAGTTTGGACACAATATTTTGACAAGATCTTGTCAGCAAGAGTGATAATATCATCGTACTCAGGACAAGAAATGGAGACAGAGCAACAAAGGAAGCAGCAAATGATGGAGAAAATGTTTCAAACAGGGAGCTCAGCACGGTTCGGTTTTAAAAAAAGGCAGAGGTGAAGCAGAACGCAGTTATGTGCAGACACTGCGGGGTGACAGCTGTAGCCAGAGGAGCTGTCTGACAATTTGAGCTGCTCTTCAGATGAACTACGAGTGGAATAAAACTGCTTTAAAGTGATGTAGCTCATCCTGAGAGGTGGTAAATATCCATCGCTGCAGACTACCAGTAACATAAATATGCTTCCATTTAAAAAAGGATTCTGTCTATGGGGGAAAAACTCCTGCTAAACACTTGATAAAATCTGCTATGTTGTTTTTAAGCACATTTAAACAACTGTTCTTTGTCACAACGTTTCTTCTAGACTGGTAAGTAAACAGCTGTTAATGCTAACGCTGGATATGTAGCAATAGCAAAACTTACAAATAGCCCCTTTAAAGCGTATTTATATTACTGATGACTATAAATTAATTAAAATACATATATATACATACATTCATAACATATCACTTGAAACACTACTGCGACATTGGTGTATCAAGAATGCATTGCTAGAATAAACATACCATGATAATGGGGCCTGTCTGTCACCAATGTATGAAACGTGGATACATTTGAAACTGGATTAAGAGTTTATTAATATTTAAGAGTAACTCACCATTTCACAGTCGAGTCCATACAGAGGGCTGCCGTCAGTCACACGGTCAACACTGTCTATGCACACAAACTCCTCAAACCCTGGCATTCCTGTGCCAAAGGAAACAAAACAAGAAGTGAGAAGGCGGAGATGAGAGAATGAGACCGTGTCTACACTAAGCCAGTTAAATCTGAAAATGCGTCTCTTTCGCTCTGCTGAGGCCTTCCCTCCACGCTACACTGGTGTTTTCACAGCCCATAACTTTTCAAGAACAGTCTCCGGAGTGCATGGATCTAAAATAACACTGACATCTTGGTGAAGATGGGAAAACAATGACATATGACATATGCCTGCTGAGACACAGTCGGGAGCAGAGTGGCAGTAAAACCTGAAGCAAGTCTTTTCAGACAGAGTCGTCTCCAGAAAGAAATTCACCTTTCACAGGGTAGTGTCTCTTGATCATCTCCTCCTCGATGAGGACGTACGCTGTCAGTCCTCTCCTCCGTATCCCAAACTTGGTGATTACTGGGTGATTCTTCAGAGCTGTGGCAGCACACAAAATAACAGACACATTCACAGATAAGAACAAGAGCAAAAACACTGAGAGAAAAACACAATCAACTGAAGCGAGGAGACATTTAGAAAATATTTGACCAAACGCCTGAACATAATAATGTGATGATATTCTGCTTTCAACATTTAAGTGTAACACAGCGTTTTAGGTCCTAGTGAAAAAAAGCATTGAGATTACTTGAGTAAAAGTAGCAATAAAAAAATACTTTATTTTAGAATAATATCACTTTGAGTTTTATATTATTATATTTTATTATTTAATCGTTATTACAGATACGTTAATGTGTAAGCATCATTTTATTGTTGTAGTTGGTCAAAGTGGAGCTCATTTCAACTACTTTATATAATGGTAGTTTAACCTGTAAGAATGCACCATATTTTATGTTCAGGTTGAAATTAACTTGTTATTTGTATGTGTGTAAGTGACTTAAGCTGTAAAATAAATGTAGTGAAGTAAAAAGTAGAATATTTCCCTCTGAACTTAGTGGATACGTAACAAATAAGTAAGTATGTTTTAACTTTCCACCATCACTCTTGAGATATTAGGAAAGTCAAGAAAAGGCAAAGTCATGTAGGTTTTATCACGATTTAACTATTTCTTGGACAATAGCCTTGTGTTATACTGATAATATTCATATCAGAACATATCTACATACATGATTCTAACCTTTGTGCAATTCATTGTTTTCCTTGTGTGAAAGCGATGGACCCTCTGATTTAGGTTCACTGCTGAAGATTTCAGACGCTACGTTGTTGGATGATGGAGTGAAGGTGACCCTCTGTAACAGCCCGATTAAAACAGACATAAAAGTCAGAATTGCTGACACTGTGAATAGCACTTCTCTCATTACATAATCTGCGTCACGACTTTCCTCTGGATACTTACAGAGCTGTAGTTGGTCCTGAGGTGTCGCAGGGTGAGGTAGTGTTTGTAAAAGTGACTCTGAGTCAGACCCTCCACGACGACAACATTCACACCTTTAACTTTCCTCTGGTGGTGGAGACGACACCAACTGGCAGAGAGGAAGGAGGATGATGACAGAAAAATGAGATTTAAAAAGAATATAAGGGGGTGTGCAGTCTGCAAGATAAAAGACTTCAATTAGATGTCTTTATGAGTGTTGACATACAAAGACACAGTATAAGTAAATTACAGAGAGTTATTTAGTGAGAGCCGATGAAATACATCCGATCTTGCTACAAAAGTCATTACCTGGGCTGTTTGATGCCGCCTGCTTTCCCCAGAGCGGCATAATGCAGCAGCTCTGTCAGCTCATTCAGTGTAATTGGTTGCCGGAGGCGGTCAAGCGGCACAGAGATCCTCGGTAAGCGGGGCGGATGTGGACACTCCACCACCCCCTCACCTCCTTGCTCGGTTTTTAATCTCTTGGCCTCTTCATGTGCTGTCAGGGCAGTGCTCTTTCTTTTCACTCTGTTGCTTGCTGCTGTTGCTGCTGCTGCTGCTGATGGTGATGGTGATGGTGATGATGATGAAGGCTCCATGTTGGAGCTGATGTTTCTACAGGGAAATAAAAACAAATACTTGAAATGAGCTCTGGCTGTCAATTATTATCTAAGTTTTACACAGGTCTTTTACGGTGCACATGAAGGTAGAACAGTTGATTAAAAATCTAGTTATCTTGAAACCATCATTCACTAACTGCAGTCGCAGATTCATTTACTGCTGATCAACTAATCTATCAATGTGCTAGCTTTTGAACTCTGCATTAAATGCTTCTTTAGATATTAACAGTTGTTCACTTATTTTTTGATCTGACATTTTCTTGTTTAGATTATTAATTATCACTATCATATTATCAAATTATCATATTAATGATACTTCCTGGCCCTACTGTGACAGTACTTTTAGGAAATATCTTTAAACTATTTTAGTTTCAATATTGTTAAAACAATTCTGCAGTCAAATTACATCATACACACCTGAGACATAGAAGACAGAAAAGTTGTTGTATAAAAACGTGTTTACAGAGTGATTACGGAAACAAGTTCAGCACTACAAGTTGTTGAGGATGTGTGCATTAGAGGCATATGCAGTAACTGTATAATAATGTGTTTGCTTTATTTGTACTGCAACTGCTAATGTAAATACAATACGTGTAAACTTTGTCTGTAGCTACAGGTGATTTCACTATAATTTCACTTGCGGTGTGTGTGCTAAACAGCCTCATGGCAGCACAGTGCTTATGGTGTATGGTGAACTTTGTGGTGTCTAACAAGAGTGAGAGTTAAAGGGTCAGATTGCTGGTTCATTCTTAGAATAACACATAGGAAAATCCACACACCCAACTAGCCAACATGTTAAAAGAACAATTTTAGCTACAATTACGATCCAAGAGTGCAGTATGTATAAGCTCAGTCTATGCGCGGGAATAAAGACGATGGTAAAATGAGTAAATACCAGATGTTATTTGTCCAACTGGTTTCCAAATTCACAGTTTTTCGCCACTGTTAAAAACACATGGCTAAAACAGAGACACTGTCGCACGTTATGCTGTGATATAAAGTTCAAATATACAAGCAGCAGGTCCGGTTTCCAATTTCAAATTAAACGAATGTGTTGACTGTCGTGATGCCTTTGAGTCAATATATGTCGCTAAAATTGGGTATATTTGATGAATTTGGCCAAAAAAAAAAAAAAATCGTGCTTTAGATACAAAACTGACACCATATCGTTATACCTCTCTCTATATTTATATATATATTTTTTTTTCGTTCTTCTTCATGTTTTTATTTTGATATGAGATGGTCAAACCGGAAGTATAGTTCGTTCCGTTTCGACTAACTTCGTGACTTTTCTATGATCGGCTATTTGTTTCGGCAGTTGATTATGCATTGCAGATACAACTAATCGAGCTCAGAATGATGGATGAGTATTTTTAAAAAGAACAGCGCGATTTTTGCTTTGTTTTCCTCAGTAGCTACTGGCGAGACTCTATCATAATTTTGCATTTTTTATTGTAAGTTTAGTGACAAAAATCTCACCGGTTCCTGGATTCAAAGAAACAGTTATGTCTACAAAGAAACTGGCCAAGTAAGTAGTTGGTAAACCAACAGCCTTTAGCCTGTTAACTAGCTAAACAGCCGACCCAAACAACAAACTGGAAAGACAAAGATACGTTCGAGTATCTAGGTTAAACATTTGTGTTAAGTTGAATGTGTGAAGGCTTTAAATACGTTAAAGTGCTTTATTCAGCAAAAAGTAAACTAAACTAACAGCATGAACGTTTAGTTTAGTAACTGCATTCAAGGAAATCGGTCGTGTTTGCGGTAATTAAGGTTTTAGTTTTTCCTCTTTAATCTCTCCCTCCCTCCACAGAGAGCTCGGGTTATTGAGGCAGCGGAGTCAATCTTCCTCCGGGTCAAAGAAATCTTTGGTATCTAGTGAGTATGATCGTCTGAATAGATAACGTTTACATAGAGGGTTAATGTTTAGATTTGATTGCTGTGGCAGTTCTGTAACACTGGCTGCTTTCTTTCAGATCAAATATTTTCCTATCTGATTGTGATTGACTTTGAGTCCACTTGCTGGACAGAGAAAAACAACTACAGCCAGGAAATTAGTAAGTAGAACTGATCTTTTAAAATATATGTTTCTTATAGGACCACTTATCTGTTCCACCTTTATTGGCAGTAACATTTTTATTTTCTTTCCACCTTCCTGTAGTTGAGTTCCCTGCTGTCCTGCTGAACACGTCCTCAGGGGAAGTCGAGTCTGAGTTTCACACATATGTTCAACCCCAGGAGCACCCTATTCTGTCTAAGTTCTGCACTGAGCTGACAGGGATTACACAGGTATCTGTGCATATGCAACTACAACTACGAAGACCACTGCACTTTCTAGTTGTGTTTACATGTGTATGGTTTTATGTTGCATCTGACAGCTTCATTTCTCTGTCTCCCAGGTGCAAGTTGAGGCAGGGATCCCACTCCAGATCTGTCTTTCTCGGTTCTGCCGCTGGATACAAAACCTGCAGCTTGAGAAGGGTGTGGTCTTTCCCAACAGACAACAGAGATGTTCTGCACCTTCACCTTCTCAAAAACTGTGCACTTTCCTCACGTGGTCAGGTAAAAAAATCTTTTTTTATTGGTCTATAATTCGGCTTGCTCAGCCATAAATTGTTAGTAACGAACCTGGTATGCCTCGTCATGGGGTCCTGGCTCACTTTAAGAGATTCTTTCCTGCGTTGGAAAAAAGATCACACAGAATGTCAAAGACAAGGCCATTTTCATCTTCAGACATAACGACACTTATACAAGAACTTTGAATTCCTTGTATTTGTCGATACAAATGTAACGTGCCACCATTTGCGTTGCATATCAGACTGGGATCTTGGAGTTTGTTTACAGTACGAGTGTAAGCGCAAGCAGCTCCATAAACCTGAGGTACTCAACAGCTGGATAGACCTGAGAAGCACATACAGAGTAAGTACAAGCTCACTTGATTTCCCTTTTGACATCTATTCTCTTTCATACTGTCTAACTTATGTTTGTGATTGAACAATACATTTTGTAATTGATTAATCTACTAATCTTATTCTTGGGATTTCTTGTTTTTTTCTTTAAATTTAAATTTTTAATAATGACAAAATTCATTTATCAGAGCTTAAGTGAAGTTTTCAAATCGCTTATTTTTTCTGACCAACATCTTCTAAATCCAGAGGTATTCAATTTACAGTAGAGAAAACAGCAATTGTCACATTTAAGAAGCTGTAACAATTGTATTTAATAAATGATTAACTGAGCAATTAATTAATTATCAATCAATATCAATAACTAAAGGCCTAATCATTTTGGCCCACGTGTTGTAATAAATCCTTTTTCTGTTTTTTCCAGCTCTTCTACAACAGGAAACCCAAAGGCCTGAACGGGGCACTACAAGATCTAGGAATACAGTTTTCAGGGAGAGAACATTCAGGTACAAAAAGAGCAAAAGTTCTTTGGTCCAAATAAATCTGCATAGACAACAGATATAATCTAAACCTGTTTTATCCTCTTTCCCCTCAGGTTTGGATGACTCCCGAAATACAGCTCAGCTGGCTGCGAGGATGATGAGGGATGGGTGTGTGATGAAGATCACTAGAAGCCTTGAAAGGGTGAGTGGCAATCGTCCAACGATACATCCCAGCTCCTAAATACCATGCCCCACTTCTGTCTCCAAAAGCAAAACCTGTTACGGATGATGACTACAATCTATGGAGATCTTCAGTGCCTTTTTGGTTCAGAGAGATTTTACATGTAGATTTTTTTACATGTATTGTGCAGATTTTTTATATAAATAAACAAATATGACTGTGGACTGCTGCAAATAATAAACCATGATCTTCCTGCCTTTTATGTGGTCCATTTTTAATAATTTTGTTCTTGATGAAATTTGAAATGCATCTTTCTGGAGACTGGGAAAGATAACCAAGCATGCTGCTCAAAGGGCTGTAGAACATAACCACAATAACTACTAACACAAATGATTTGATATTACAGTTTCAAAGAAAATCAGGAATGGATTATATTGTATGAGTTGTCGATTATATCTCTCATCTTATCTTCTTCTCACAGACCCCGTCAACAGTCAAACCCATGTTTGGAAACACAACTGCAGACAAGAAAGAAAAGGCCAACACTGATAAAGAGGAAAATACACTTACCACAACCAAACCCTCATCACCCAAGAATCCTCCTAAACCATGTCAAATAAAATCATGTTCAGAAACCAATACAATGAATTTAGACACAAAGGAAACGTCATGTTCCGTTCAGGAATCTGTTCAATGCCTGATCTCACCCAAGACCGTTCTGACTGGTACAAGTACACCCCTGTGGGGACGCAGCAGGAGGTCAGTTACCTCAGAGGGTGTCGCTAACCTTTCCTCTGCAGTTATGGTAAATGGTACTTCACCACACAGTAACAGCAACAAAAGCCTTGTTCTGTGTTCTACTACTCTGGGATCCCTTTCACATCTACCTCACCTGAACCGGCTCTCAAAAACCAGAGCAGCAGTGGAACTTGTGGAGGAAGAGGAAAGTGAAGAACTTCTAGTGGAAGCAGAGGAGAGGTGTGCTTCATATGATCATGTGGTGTTGGAGGGTGCTGAAGATGATGTTATTAATGGAGATGATAGAGAGTGTGACACTGAGTATGTATCAGATTTTGACAGTGGATGTTATGTGTGGGAAGACTCTGACAATTCACATTTAAGGGCCAATATGAGTGTGGAAAACAACTCTAAAACCAGTGACTTATCCACAGCTTCTGTATCTACAAAGAAGATAAGAACGGATCAGTTAAAGAAGATGGTGCAGCACTCGGCGATCTCAGAGCCAGATACATATTTTGCAGTGCCTAAGGCCGTTACTTGGGGCTCCAAAACAAATGGACATGAAATAGGACTTAAAACCTCTCTACATCTCCGAGAGAAGTCAGATGGAGGCCCACAAACCTCCAAAACCAACACGCCTTCTTTACTCAGGCACAAATCTTTCATCCCAGAAAACACCTCCACACCGAATACCTCATTTGCCAAGCCCAGACCAGTCACCACGCAAAATAGAAAGCACAAAAAGACTCCATCTTCCTTTACCATCTACACTGACCCAGCAAAACAGGCTGCAACTCCCTCCCATCCTTCCTCATCTCGCTCGTACACCCCCAAGAATGTCCTCTGCTCTTTGTCAGCCAACACACTCTCGTCATGTACCAGCCGTTCCTTCATTTCTGCGAAAACAAGAGGACAGAAGATCACATCCCCACTGTGTGTGTGCGGCCGTCGTGCAAAGCGACAGGTCGTGTCCAACGGTGGTCCGAACCAGGGCCGAGGGTTTTACTGCTGTCCGGTCCGCCGCTCGGGCAGCGGAGGCAGGATCCAGAAAGGATGCGAGTTCTTCAAATGGGAGTCATCTCTGATGAAGAGTTGTGCAGTTCCTGCTGTCGGGTCGTCTGTTTCATTCTGTCAGATCAGCTCGGCTCTGAACTGTCGTCCACAACAAAGGTCAACACTAAGAAAAAGCTATTAAGGTGTTGGAGAAACAGTTGCACCTCCACCCTCGTACCAGTCACTGACATTGAGACATTTTCAGTGCAAAGTATGAATAATTCCCACAAAGGTGGTTCCTGAATAACTATTTTGTTGGTTAACCTGTGTCTAACCTTAATCTTCTCTAATATTAGAAAAAGCTGTAATGATGCCCCACCACTTGTAGATGGATCGGATAAAAAGGTCTGTCCAATGAGTAAATGTAATATAATGGAAAAAAAGGAAAAAAAACCCTGAAGAGTTGGGCTTTGAGATAATGAAGGACATTTTATTTATTACACTGCCACACATATTGGAGAGTTCTCCTTTTATGAAGTACATACAGGAGTCAAATCAAACCTTTATTTATCAGACATTTTAAATGCTAAAGTTACTGATTCCAATTTTGATAATTGATTGTCTGTTAGCAAATTTCATTAATGCTAAAAAAGCAAATTGGCTGCTATGGCAAATCGTAAGTTGAGTATTTTTGCTTTGATGCATTTCATGAGAGGCATTTGTCATGTATGAATCAATAGTAAACACTTAAAATGATGGGCTAAAAATGAATGTTATAGCTTTGGAGATTAAATTAAATGGTTAATAATGATAATAAAGACAGTTGTATTTGTGCTTATTGTGCTTAATGAAATAAACACAATAAGTTTTTACTTTATTCATTTAGCTTCTTGGTTTTCAGCATCGCCTTTACATGAAGTACAACCCCAACTCTGAAGAAGTTGGAATGCTCTGTTAAGGGTAAATACAAACAGGAAACAATTATTTGAATACAGTACAAAGAAAAGATATTTAATGTTCAGACTGATAAACTTAATATAATGAATAAATAAATATACACTCATTCTCAATTTGATGTATGAACACACCCCCAATACATGCGACAGATGCTGGCTTCTGAACTTTGCAACAATCTGAATGGTCCTTTTTCTCCATAGTTGGGAGGACACAATGTCCACGATTTCCAAAAAACATTTGAACTGTTTCTCCTCCTTGTGTCAGTCCATCTCAGATGAGCTTGGGCACAGAGAAATTGTTTCAGAGTAAAGGGAGGCTTTACCCAGTATAGTGTTCCTAAATAAATGCTCGGTGAGTGAGTTAACTGTATATTTGAATCGTGAAAATGTCGAAGGCTTTTGTCCCTCTTCGCACGCCGTACACGGCTACCTAAAACGTGCTATGTTGTGACTGAATGAGACGTCGTTCCTTGAAACGTGAAACAGCCGCACTTTTAACTTGAGCGCATGTTTATACTAAAACGTGAACTTCTCATGGCTTTAACATTGTAGTCCCTGCAGTTTTTAAATCTCGTACAGTTTGTGTTAGCTTCAACGGTTAAGCTAACGGCTAATAAAGCCGAAGGGAAGTAACCAAAACAAGAAGGTAGCCCCGCTGCTACTGAGCTTAAAATACAAAGCTTTGAATCAGTACGAAAGCCTCTCTGCTAACATGTCAGCCGCGCAAAACGAGTCGAGGAAACGGAGCAAGAAGCGGTATGTGGCCGGCCACCACAACAAGCGGTGGAAGGGCTCCCGAGAGCTGGAGGTGGGCATGGAGGGGATCCTCATCACATGCAACATGAACGAGAGGAAGTGCACCGCGGAGGCCTTCAATCTGCTCAACGAATACGCCGACAAGCTCTACGGACCTGAGAAGGTGAGCGAGAAACATTTGAATGTTTCCTGGTTTGCTGTAAGATCAGAGGACATTGCATAGCACTGTCTGCGTTTAAAAGCTAAAGGCCATTTTGATATTAGTTCTGTTTCCAAAAGTTTCTATGCAGGTTGAACAAGTGAACTGCACCTTGAAAAAGTGGGAAACAAAAGCTGAATTGTACATTTTTTAAATTTTTTTTTACCTTATTTATCTTTTTAATTGCGTATTTGTGTTTTATATTATATGAAGGTAGCTAGGGCAAAAGGATGCGTTATTGCTCTGGAATAGACAGCTTGTAATGCATATGGAAATTTAAACTAAATATAAACCTGGTTTCTATTTCAGTATTTACTCATTTTCTGAGTCAGAAACGACAAAAAATGATGTCTAACAATCTGCTGTAATGTTCAAACAATTAATCACGAGCAAATGAATTAACTTGTTAAGCAAAAATTATAGATATATGCTCGTTTTAGCTCATCAGATGTGAGGAATTGCTGATTTAACATGATTTATATGTTATAAGAAATGGACCGCTTCAGGTTTTGGGATTTGTGGTTAGGGGGACAAAACAAGCAATTTGAGGATATCACCTTAGTCAGCCTTGGACTTTATCTGTATTTTCTGTAATTTCAAAATATGGTATTTTAAAAGTGCCACTCTTTTTATCACAGTTGCAAGATAATACTGGGAGCAGCAGTGAAGAAGAAGATGCTGAAGAAGAGGATGTTGAGGTCGCACTGAAGAAGGAAGTGGCACAGCTGCAAGCATCTGGAACTAAACCCGAGAGGCGCTTCCAGGCTTTGGACAGCGGGGCAAACAATGTCATCTTCATCAAAACTCAAAATCTGGGTAAGCATTTAATTGAAAGAAGAGTTAATGGTTTATCTCTTTGTAATATGGCTATAATATTTGTTTTCTTTGCTTTGTCATAGAATCTGACAAGTTGGTTCATCACATCTTGTCTGATCTCCACACCACCAAGAAGAAAAAGTCCCGCGTGATCCTTCGGATGCTACCAGTGAGCAGCTGAAATCATAACGATCTACCTAACTCTTTTTAATATGATAGAAGTGATTTAGCACGTGCAGCACAGAAAGATCTTATTATACAAGAGGTTGAGGGACTTTGGAGCAGTTTAGCTTTCATATGACTTAAATGACTTCTATGCTTATCACAAGTAAGCTGGTGGTTTTGAAAATGACACATTATTTGACATTTTCAGATATAACACTTCTAATGATGTACACACGTAATTTACAACAGTTAGGCTGTTTTCTGTTGTTTAAATAAGGTGCAGCCTTTTATTACAATCAAACTTAATGTCAAGTCTATATATCAAAACAAAAATAATTTAGTATTGTTGTCTGCAGTGTGTGATCCTTGTTTTGATCTCATCCAGGTAACTGGAACGTGCAAGGCCTTCCAGGATGATATGGTGAAGTACCTGACCACCTTCTTGGAGCCTTGGTTCAAAACCCCAAGTTGTGCTACCTATCAGATCGCCTTCAAAGCCCGCAACAGCAGCCACAACAAGAGAGACGAAATCATCAAATCAATTGCAGGTAATATTGATCTGACCTTTTTTTTTGTTGTTTGTTTGTTTGTTTTTTTCAGATAAATTTTGACAGTGTTTAAAACTGAATTGACCTTTTGTTTTTTGATCATTGCAGGTCTTGTGGGGAAGCTGAACCCTAAAAACAAAGTGGATTTGACGAACCCAGAATTGACAATCATTGTGGAGGTCATTAAGGCTGTGTGTTGCATCAGTGTGGTAAAAGACTATACACTGTATAGAAAGTACAACGTTCAGGAAGTAGTAAAAGAAGATGCACCAAAGCCTGATGTGACAACAGCAAAAACAGATGCAAGCACACCTGAGCAGAAGGAGAAACAGGATGCAGTGGAGACGAACCAAGAAGACAAGAAAGGTGAAGAGGAAAATGACAAAAATGTGCCAGAGGACAAAAAGGAGGTTGATAAGAGTCAAGGTGAAGGGGAATAAGGGATCCCTTTTAAAGAAATGGGTTGTCAGCTGCTTAGTTAGATTTAAAATTTCTCAGACATAATAAGTTGCGTCATATTGTAGTAATTTTGTTTTTAAATGGAAGGATAACATTACTTAAAAAAATAATAAGGCTGACAAGAGTCAAACAGGGTCCTCATATAATTTAATGTCTTTTTTTTTTCTATTCATGACGATGAGACACCGGTGCCAACTTCATTAAGATGTCCATTTTAAATAGCAGTGATTTTGAAGTAACTGTACATATCACCCCTCTGCAGCATAACTTTGCCAACAGCTCACATTTTTTTAATGCTGAATTTAATTTTTAAATTTATATGTCATTTTATTTTTTGACATTTTTAAACTAAAGAAAACAGAGTTTGGTTCAGGTCAGCTTGTGTGTCACATGTAGTAATAGACTGTTTTTGTAAGACATGTTATTTCCAAAAGCTGTACCTGAATTAAAGCTGCCTGTGTTTTTGGCTGTATCCTTTTCTCATTTAATGATACAACGTGCCTCGCTGATTGGCACAGCGAGGAAAAAGGGAATTTGAAAACTGCTACTTAAACATAATGAAGTACGTATAATGTTCTCACCTGCGGGCTCTCAGGGCTTTTACGTTTCACATCATGGAGTAAAACGTCCTATTTGACATTGTGTCCCTCTAACCACCACCATCATCCTTGAACTGGCAGTTTCCTCTCTGCACCACAAGATGGAGTTAATGCCTCATTTTCTAGAGGCATGGACATCTGTGTGACAAGTTGTGCTCATGGGTTTAATTAATCACAAAACCTTAACCGTTGTTAAGCTTTCCTCATGTCTTACCTACTTCACCTACCGTTCAAATAATTTTCTATATATCTTGCAATTCTTTGTGGTTGTGAAGAGTGTAGGCTTTCATATCGGTTTAAAAAGATTACACCTAATTTGATAGATCATATCCGACAATAATATGTCTCATGACAGATGTTGTGAATTTTCCTGTATTTGACAGCAGAAAAGTGATAAAGTGGAACTAACCACTACAAGCTGTGATGCCAAAAATCTGACCTGTTTTGGGTGTGATGGTTAATTTTTTTGAGTGGTAAAATGCCTCAATAAAATTTGTTATATTTTGTCACGTTTTATTGTTTCTATCAGATTTTTTTGCGAACATTTCCACAACAAAACAATTGGAGAAGAAATAAGACAAAAGAGTCCACGAGAGATGCTAGTGACTGAGCCAGTATTAAACAGCTTCGACCTTATGCTCACTGCATGCTAACACGCTCACCAAGACACTGCTGCCATGCTGATGTTCAGCCTCTAAGCATGCTAACATTTTGTATATTAGCATTAAACATAAAATGCAGCTAAGGCTGATAATGTAATTAATTTTGCTGGTATATGGTCATAAACCAAAGTATTGGACAAACTGAAATTCTGACCTGACTGTAGTGCTAAGTGAAAAATTATGGATGATTAAAATTACAATTAATCATCCCGAAGGCGGCATGTGTCCTTGCCAGATTTCAGGCCAATCTGTCGAACAGTTGTTGAGACAGGTTGCTCAGGAGCTTACCAAAATCAATAGGATTTATTTCCTGGGGACCTTAAAGGCCATGCAGAACAAAATTTCATGGCAATCCATGCAGTATATTTGTCGAGATACTGAAGTCTGGATTTTCTGCGTTTGCACAGGTCTTGCATTCTGCGACTCATTCAGAGTTTTGTATCTATTCAGTTTGCAGGTTTAAGTCACAACATGTGCTTCTGTAGAATTATCTTGGGTCTCTCCTCTGTGTCCACCAAGCCTGCCTGGAAAGGTCATAGACAGTTTTATGGTTTGTCTTTTGAAGATATTACCAGGAGAACTTGGCTTTGTTTATAGATCTCTAAAATTAAGAGAAACTTTTTTTAAAAAAAAACAATGTAAATGTGTTTTTTCTAAAGCAACACACTAAGCAGTAAACAATGTGTAAGATGCAGTGATGGCAATAATCACAGTAAGGAGAAGTATATACAGCTCTCCAGCTCAGTCACGTATACACAACACACACACACATGCATTAACTGAATTGTGAATTCTTTTTCTGCTCATTACACTTGGGCTGGGACTGTTGCTGTGACCCTCCAGTCATTATCTCCACTGCATTCAACTAAAACTCACAAATTACATCGCCACTGACTCTGGGTGCCCCAATCAGTGTGACCTGCTGACAAGCTTATAGCTCGAACACAAGGGGAAAGGATTATATGTTTTCAGAGAGCCAGTGTGTTATTAGTACAATACCAATTAGACTGTGTGTCCAGCCTACAGGATGGCTAAAGTACAGTGATACCTCATAATGATATCACAGTGGCAGCATCTTAATGATATCTCTGCTGTCAGGTGAAATTTTTATTTTTTATAAAAGACATCATAACAACATTTCCTATAGGTACTACAGCATTTTTTATTATTACTGAATGGTTTTTGGAAAGAAAGAAAAGATAGCACATTCAGTTCATTAAAAGCATTCTGTGGAAGCTGACAGTTTTAAATGTTTAGCCAGGAACAGCATAATCAAAATCAAGACAATATTTACAGTGGTAAACACTTGGTGTTGTCTACATGAGAAAATAGCCTCTGATGTTTTAATTGCCCCCAAGGCCATGTCTAATTAAACCTCCATGGGCGCAAAAGCCCACTGCTTTCCAGCCAAATAGGCATACAAGCACGTACACACTGTTCTGCCACCCAGGACTGTACACTCATTCAGGTTTAAATGTCACAGGCCTGTGAAACAATTGCATCCACAGGCGCATGTGCACACAGTCCCCAGGGTCAGGATTAGCATCCACTGGTGTGACTCCATATCTGACCTTTATGAGTGGATAAGCAGTGCTCTCCAGGGTCTCATTTGTCTCACTTTATCCGAACAATGGCCTCAACCCATTCACAACTGTAGCCTTCTCTCTCTCAGTGCAGAATGAACACGGCGAGGCTCAAATTGTTGAACTTCAAAGCTTTTCAAGGACTCCAGGTCCAATTTTCACTTATAGTACATGTGGTTAAAATGACCATGGTTATAAATCCACAGAAAATTTGGTTTCAAAACCTAAGCATTACATTATAACCTTATGACTAAATAAACCACAATCAGAGTTACATTTTGAGAAGAAAAAAATCTGTTAATTTTATAGTTTAATTATTATTTATTAGGGGTTATTCACTCAGAAACTCAGCTAATTACCAATAGAACTGTGTGGGTGTGGTTTTAACAACCCAAAAACTGTTATCACATTTTGATCACCTTTTCTGACAGAGACTCACTCACCAGTGCGAAAACCTCAGACAAAAACACAAATACAGAAACCTCTCATGTGAATTAACTAGGACTATTCCAAATTTGACAAGAAATGTTATGTTCATAGAGGAACCTGCTGTTCATAGAAAGACGCTGACTGATAAAATGTGTTTTCAATCCCTTGTATATATCGATCGGGCAGCTTGTCTGTTTGCAACCAAGTTCCACTTAGAAAAATGGTAGTAATAGTGTATTATCTAAAGAAGTGCCAAGTAGTAACAAAAATGTTATTCTTTGCAGGAAAGCATTAAATGTTGAACTAAAGAGAAGGATAAAGTGATGCACGCCACTATGGCATGACAAATACTATTCAAACATTAAGCTATATCAAAACTAGATAGGATGATAATAAAAAGAGTAAGACTGTATATGTCTGTGAACATGTATACAAGAGGGAAGGATACACAGTGATCCGATGGAAAAACAGATACATGGACAAAGAGACGAAGCTCTGGCCATAATTCTGTATTGCAGCTACATTTACATTACGTCCTTCCCTCATTGTCTTTACCAACAAGAAATCACCCGACCCAGCACGAAGAAATTCACACAGAAAGAGAAAACTAAGTGTCTGAGTGTAGCATTTAGACATAACACGGACGTGACTGAGCCACATTAAATACTGAGCACGATGATTGATGACAACTAACTAAAGTCCGTCTGCTGATGAAAACAGTGTGATATGGTAAAAATCTCTAGAACTGTGAGTAAGGGGACCTTGAGTTGAGGTTTTTTTCAACCACAATTAAAACTGTTTATTTACTGCCCCATTAATCTTTTTATGACCCCCAGATTTATCTTGTGACACCTTGGCGTAGTCCCGCCTGAAAATAATTAAATTAACATTTGCACAATTTTAAAGGAATTTCGGTGTATTAACATTTCCTTACCTGATTCATTTACTTATACCGTCTTAATTATATCTGTGGGTTTATTCTATTGTAATAATCAATCAAATAATCTCATAATCTTATCTGGCAGTTTGGTCAATATTGTTGTTGTTTTTAAAAGCACTCTATAAAAAATTGACTTGACCACAAGAAGTTCCCAAACAATTAAACATTTGCTTACATCATGGGCCTTTTTCATGGAAGATGTTGACACATCATAGGTGTAAATAACAAAATGGATGACGGCTGAATTCCAGTTGTGCATGCTGGCTCATTCTCACATTGTCCCTGCTTACTGCACTGTGCCCTGGAATAGAGTCATTGTTAATGTAACAGTAAACCATGAGCTTTACCTACTTCACCAAGTCAAAATGTCTGCTGTCAGATTCAATTCCCGTTTTATTTCACATTATACAATGTTAAATCTACAACATAATAAATAATGTGCAAAAAGTGAAGTTTCATATGAACCAATGAACAGATCCGAAATGTGGGTGGTGATTTAGATGTCGGGTTTACCAAGTCCATATTCATAACTGTCAGACCTCTTAAAGCTGAGATAGCTGTATATCTGCATTTATAATATTGTAATGAGATTTGGTGTATCGGTCACAAGCACCGCAACTTTATGTAATATTTGGGATAAAGTCTCAAAAATCACAAAGACAGAAAACAGAACAGAGCATGGGACAGTTGCATTTGCTTGTGGCAATTCACAAGCTGACCAACGCTAACTGAAGGACACTAAATGTGGTATTTTGCTTGATAACAAATTATAGCCTCAAAAATGACCACTGAGTTGAATCTGAACGTCTGACAACTACAACAAAAAGCGATTCTGAGCGTTTGCCAGGCTGGTATTTTCCTGCAGAACCATTGTATAGTACGGCTTTTCTGCTATATTGTCTGTCCTCTCTAGGTATGTATCAGTTTGTAGCTTTCCAGATGCTTTCCCTTTTGTCATGAACATGCATAGTCAATAGATGCACAATGATTTATTTATTTATTTATATCTATTGTTACAGTGAAGGGAATATGTTTTGGAGAGCATCTATTTCTCTGAGAGATTGCGTGCGTGCGTGTTTGTGTGTGTGCGTGTTTGTGTGTGTGAGTGTGTGTGTGTGTGCGCGTGTGTAGCAGTCAGCTATGTGAATGGGGTTCGATAATGAGAAATGCTTATCAACCCTCTACAGCCTGTCAGCTCGCTGCTATTAGCTGTTACCCCAACAATCCTACAGGTAGGCCAAGAGTGCTCGAATTGATTCCAAACATTCCTATTTGTCCCTGCAGAAAAGGAGCAATCAGCAGACGGATTTAGTTGATTAGGATTATGGTAAGTAATTTATGGAGGAAATAAGTGGGCATTTTTAAGGGATCTATTAATGTGGTGAAATTAGTTTTCTTAATACCTGGGATGAAGTTGCTGTTTGAATGTAAATTACTGTTTATGTGATTGAAACGTGGACTAGAAAAAGAGAGCTTAGTTTTAGGACAGTTTGTGCAGTTGTAGAGAGGGAACAACTCATTTCGGAGCAGTTTTTCTCATCCACACACACATTTATTCACTCATTCTCATCAGTGGCATAGTCCTTGCTGAGGGTACTTTCCATATCACTGCATGGCTTTTGCTGCAGAGAGACGCACTTTAGCATAATGCTAACAAGAACCTTGACAATTAGATAGACAGCAGGGGGGACTCGGGGGCAGAGAGGCAGGAGGGCAGCGTGTGGAGCTAAGATGTGAATAAAAACCAGGGAAAAATTAAAGAACATGGAGGCTAGAGGGAGGAGGCATGTGACTCTAAAACGCTTTAAGTTTATTTCGTTTCTCCATGTAATGGTCAGTGCTTAAAAGGAAGACATCAAGTCCATGTTTCACTAATGAGACTTGA